AAAATTATCTATGTAAATTATCTATGTAAGTTAAGCATTGTTTATATTATCTATGTAAATTATCTATGTAAGTTAAGCATTGTTTATATTAAATTATCTATGTAAATTATCTATGTAAGTTAAGCATTGTTTATATTAAATTATCTATGTAAATTATCTATGTAAGTTAAGCATTGTTTATATTAAATTATCTATGTAAATTAAGAATTGTTTATATTAAATTATCTATGTAAATTATCTATGTAAGTTAAGCATTGTTTATATTAAATTATCTATGTAAATTATCTATGTAAGTTAAGCATTGTTTATATTAAATTATCTATGTAAATTATCTATTTAAGTTAAGCATTGTTTATATTAAATTATCTATGTAAATTATCTATGTAAGTTAAGCATTGTTTATATTAAATTATCTATGTAAATTATCTATTTAAGTTAAGCATTGTTTATATTAAATTATCAATGTAAATTATCTATTTAAGTTAAGCATTGTTTATATTAAATTATCTATGTAAATTATCTATCTTAATTATCTATTTAAGTTAAGCATTGTTTATATTAAATTATCTATGTAAATTATCTTATTAAGTTAAGCATTGTTTATGTTAAATTATCTATGTAAATTATCTATTTAAGTTAAGCATTGTTTATATTAAATTATCAATGTAAATTATCTATGTAAGTTAAGCATTGTTTATATTAAATTATCTATGTAAATTATCTATGTAAGTTAAGCATTGTTTATATTAAATTATCTATGTAAATTATCTATGTAAGTTAAGAATTGTTTATATTAAATTATCTTTGTAAATTATCTGTGTAAGTTAAGAATTGTTTATATTAAATTATCTATGTAAATTATCTATGTAAGTTAAGCATTGTTTATATTAAATTATCTATGTAAATTATCTATGTAAGTTAAGCATTGTTTATATTAAATTATCTATGTAAATTATCTATGTAAGTTAAGAATTGTTTATATTAAATTATCTATGTAAATTATCTATGTAAATTATCTATGTAAGTTAAGCATTGTTTATATTAAATTATCTATGTAAATTATCTATTTAAGTTAAGCATTGTTTATGTTAAATTATCTATGTAAATTATCTATTTAAGTTAAGCATTGTTTATATTAAATTATCAATGTAAATTATCTATTTAAGTTAAGAATTGTTTATATTAAATTATCTATGTAAATTATCTATGTAAATTATCTATGTAAGTTAAGCATTGTTTATATTAAATTATCTATGTAAATTATCTATTTAAGTTAAGCATTGTTTATGTTAAATTATCTATGTAATTATCTATGTAAGTTAAGCATTGTTTATATTAAATTATCTATGTAAATTATCTATGTTAGTTAAGCATTGTTTATATTAAATTATCCCTCTTCTCAGTTTAAATCAGAAGAGGTCTGTTTAAGTTGAGATAAAACTTTCGTATTTTCAACCTAGTTTCCTCCTGTCAGTGTTACAAGTCAGAGAGACTACAAAACAATAAGTCATTCAATTGGATAATAAACAGGTTAGGGTCACCCAATACTTTATGCCTGCTGTCTTTGAAACATTTCCCTCATTGCAGACTTCATGACATTGACTGTCTTCATCAGGTGCAATAAAGTTTGACAAAACATTTAATTTTATTTTAAATATTACCCTATATTACAGGAATGCTCGAGATATACCACAACGTAGAGTTAAACTCTGGGCTTTCTCCGTGGAAGAATTACTTCATGATGCAGCAGGCAGGGATCACTTTGGAAAATTTTTAGATAAAGAATTTAGTGGAGAAAATTTAAAGTAAGAATAATTTTATAATTATGTTGGTTTAGTGTCTACTGTTTAATGTGAATTGGTGATTTTAGATTGTTTATATTCTATTAAATCATTTTCCTTTGATTTTCAGTGATTTTATATCATCTGAATTGAATTTACCCAATGTTTTTCCCTTCATAGATTTTGGTTAGCGTGTCAAGAATTAAAAGGCCTTCCAATGAGTGAAGTTCATCAAAAGGTCCATGAAATATTTAGGTAAGTTCAAATGAACTCTTGTAATATATTTTTCATGACAAATTGCATGAGAGTTCAGTGAAATAGGATGAAAAACTAAGGTATAATTGGTTTATTTTTTATAATTGGTTTATTTTTTATAATTGGTTTATTTTTTTATAATTGGTGTATTAATAATTGATTTATTTTTTTTAATTGGTTTATTAATAATTGGTTTATTTTTTATAATTGGTTTATTAATAATTGGTTTATTTTTTATAATTGGTTTATTAATAATTGGTTTATTTTTTATAATTGGTTTATTAATAATTGGTTTTTTTTTTATAATTGGTTTATTAATAATTGGTTTATTTTTTATAATTGGTTTATTAATAATTGATCTGATGTAGGGAAACTATTATTGAAAGTACACTATTGTATAAGGGGAGATAAATCTATATAAACGTTACACGAAGAATAAACCATGAGTTGTTAGCTCCCTTATTTTTATCAATAATAACATATAGTGACAAAACAATAAAATGAAAGTAATCATGACTAAGTTATCAATTATAATTCAGCTTAACTTTTAAGTTTATTTTCATAAGTTCAGCTAATAGATGTATATCATGAATATTCAGCATAAAAGCTATTGTTTTCTGTTCTAGTGAATTTCTTGCCCCGGGTGCACATAATCCAGTGAACGTAGATTGTCAGATTATGGAGTTGGTACGAAAACGAGTTGAAAATAATCCCACACGATTCTGTTTCGATGAAGCACAGGTTGGTTGAAATAGTTATTAGTTCTGAAAGTCAAAATAAAATCCGCTTAACTTCAATCATATTTGTTTGTGGTCTTCATAAATCCAGTAATGTTTTGCCTGTGGTAGCCCCTATCATCAAGTTGTATTTATTGTGTCTTGTATTTCCAGGAACATATATTTAAACTAATGAAATGTGACAGTTATAGTCGCTATTTAAGAAGTGATATGTATAAAGAATATTTAAGTGGAACGAGAAAGAAAGTAAGACTTCTGACCAGTAATTGGTCACATTTTAAACATTGACATCGTGTTTTTCTCTTCTTTTTTTATCTTTTTTCATCATTTTTTCTGTAAAATTCTTTCTATATTTTTCTCGACTCATTTTTTTTTTACTATGATCAATTTTAATCAACAGAACTTTTTTTTTTACTATGACCAATTTTAATCAACAGAACTTTTTTTTTACTATGACCAATTTTAATCAACAGAACTTTTTTTTTACTATGACCAATTTTAATCAACAGAACTTTTTTTTTGCTATGACCAATTTTAATCAACAGAACTTTTTTTTTGCTATGACCAATTTTAATCAACAGAACTTTTTTTTTGCTATGACCAATTTTAATCAACAGAACTTTTTTTTTGCTATGACCAATTTTAATCAACAGAACTTTTTTTTGCTATGACCAATTTTAATCAACAGAACTTTTTTTTGCTATGACATATTTTAATGACATAAATTTTTTTTATATAATTTTTTTGATTAAACTGTGAGGAAGATAGTTTTCATAATTTATCTTTAAAACCTAAACAAATATTCTGACTTATTTTATTTTCATGATACACATGTTATATATATATATATATATATATTTACATTTCTCTTCCTTTTACACTCATGATGGTATTTTTTATAAAGACATTTTCAAACAACAAAAATTTGGGACTCCAAAATTCCTATTGCTGTATCTCTGTGTCTCATTTTAATGACATAGGTTATTGTTTTTTTTTACATTTCTATTAGAGAATTGACATATTTTTTTCAATCATGAACATTGATTAATTATGTTTTTAGTGCTATCTTTGCCTGAATTTGAATTTAAAAACTATTCTTTTATTCTATGTTGTTAGAATGGATTCTTTAAAAATATAGATTAATAAGAAAACAATCAGCCAAAACTCTGACAATTAAGAATTATAAACCTCAGTCTTGACTATTTAATTTTGATGGAATTAGATTTAGACCATTGTGCCATTTGTAAGGTACCTTAAAGTCTTCTGAATGAATTTGGCACTTTGACTAATGTCATCTATTGAAATAAGTGAAATTATTAGATTAATCTTATTTCTGAAATTTTTTTAGAGAATCCTCTAAGCTTTGTATGATTTTTTTCTCAATTTGTTTTGTGATCAGTAATGTTGTGATATCTGAGTTTTCTCTCTTTCTTATTTTGAATTGTCCATGTTGGCATGTTAGTGATTATTTTTTATTTTCTACAGTTACTATCTTAAAACTTGACTTCCACTAGAATCAATTCTATGATTGGTGTAGCCTAGTGAACTATCTTAAAACTTGACTTCCACTAGAATCAATTCTATGATTGGTGTAGCCTAGTGAACTATCTTAAAACTTGACTTCCACTAGAATCAATTCTATGATTGGTGTAGCCTAGTGAACTATCTTAAAACTTGACTTCCACTAGAATCAATTCTATGATTGGTGTAGCCTAGTGAACTATCTTAAAACTTGACTTCCACTAGAATCAATTCTATGATTGGTGTAGCCATGTGAGATAGAATATTTTCATACTAATTTTAAAAGCCATCCTTAATATTTTGGCTACTTTGTAAAGTTTAACAGTTTGATGTAAGGGTTATGATACAGAGAGATACTTTAATAGTATCAGGAACATTTGGCTATTTCAAACACAATGAAAGGCTTCACAAAGACTAAAAACAGAGAGAATCAGATATATAACATTACAGATCATTTTAAACTGTAGATATTTTTGTAATTAATTTTAAGTCAAAAAAATAAATATTCCAAGATGGATTCAAGAAATTACAATGCATGCTTCTAAAGGAAAAGGTTATACATGTACATTAAAACCACAATTGGTACATTGTCACAATTTCTTATCAAAAGGGAAAGATTAAGAGATAGGTAGAGTGGAGGTAGGGTAGGGTTAGCTCATAGAATCAGGGTCAGGAATGCTCTTTCAGAGCACCTGATGTTTTTGTGTTTTTCAGCATCTTTCACTAAATGGTCACATATTGTTTTACTATTTTATCTACATCAACCTTTAAGCCTTTATTCATATCACCTTTAAACCTTTATTCATATCACCTTTAAACCTTTATTCATATCACCTTTAAACCTTTATTCATATCACCTTTAAACCTTTATTCATATCATTAAAAGCCTTTATTCATGGTGCATCCATCATTGTTACTAGAATTTCAATACTTTCACATTTTTTCATTAATTTATAAATTGTATGTAAACTGAATACTCATGTATAGAATTTACAACTTCAAGTTTTCCTTTTGATTAAGTCAAAATAGAATTTTAAGAATACATGTTTACACAAAATATATTTGAAATTTGATTTTCAAAAATCCAGTAATCTTACTGGTTTGTACAACTAAATATAAAATGATTTTTTATTAATTGACCAATCAGACAATTCGAACATTACATTTGCATCAAATTTTTTCCCATTCTATTTTGAAGTTTGTATCTGTGTATTTTGTGCAAGATGTTTTGTATATACTATTTTTGAAGTTTGTGTATTTTTGATGAATGATTGAGAATAAAGGGTGCTATAATGATGATACTAGGTCACAGATATTAATATACATTATGGAACAAGGTTGGAAAATATTTAATCCTGATACTTTTAACTGCAAAATATCCAATAACATTTTAAAAAATACCATATCATCTATCTGGTTAGAAGAATAAAACTAATATCACTGTCATAAAACTCTAATACAGATTTGACTGGCAAATAGCTCTATCTCTATAACAGATTTGACTGGTAAATAACTCTATCTCTATAACAGATTTGACTGGTAAATAACTCTATCTCTATAACAGATTTGACTGGTAAATAACTCTATCTCTATAACAGACTTGACTGGTAAATATCTCTATCTCTATAACAGACTTGATTGGTAAATAACTCTATCTCTATAACAGACTTGATTGGTAAATAGCTCTATCTCTATAACAGATTTGACTCGTAAATAACTCTATCTCTATAACAGACTTGATTGGTAAATAACTCTATCTCTATAACAGACTTGATTGGTAAATAACTCTATCTCTATAACAGACTTGATTGGTAAATAACTCTATCTCTATAACAGATTTGACTGGTAAATAACTCTATCTCTATAACAGATTTGACTGGTAAATATCTCTATCTCTATAACAGATTTGATTGGTAAATAACTCTATCTCTATAACAGACTTGACTGGTAAACACAGCTAAAGCAACCAACCGAAGAATGACTTGAATGTTTATAAATATTTGGGACCTAATATATAATACTGAACGTTTTGTATATTTTGTTTTTTGTTGTTAGCTTGTATTAAAGTGTAATTCTATAGTTCTATAACAAATAGCTAACTTCCTGTTTGCTACAGGTAAAGAATATTTTTGTTTTTCGATAATACCCCTCTAGATATAAGCTATGAATGTTATGAAAGAAGATAGCATATACAACTCTAGCTTCTTCACTTCATATGTTTCTACTTTGTTGTATCACTCTTTTAAAAATTGAAATAGCCCCAAGAAGACAACTAAAATTCTAGAACTCTTATTATGTAATTAGTACTGAAATCTAAAGTCATGCAGTATGCAACGAGGTAACCTGTGCTAAGGCTTTATAAAACTATAGAATAAGATTTTTCATTTCAAATCACAAATTATTTTCTATTGTGATGTATTCTAGTCTTTTTTAAATTGTGTTATCATATCTATTAGCTGTCTTAATTCACCCATTTTGTTCTTCCTTCTATTTTCTGCATTTTAAGTTTACAGAATGAATTATTTTGAATATTGTGATTTTTAAATTAATTGGTAAACTGAATATTAAACTCTGGAAGCTCAACATAAACATGGTTTAATACTCTCAAGTCTCAAAATTACTTAAAATATAAATATTATATGATATAGTTCTTCTACACACTACCACTCATGTTGGTCATATTGGGTCTGGAAACAGTCAAGAGGGAAGTGGTTCTTGGCATCGCTATTTTCAGGAGTTGACAAATATGACTGGCCCCTTACTTTAAAAAAAAAATATTGCTCTAGAAATGTGTCTTTAATTTAGAATTGTGCATTGAAATATACCGAAATGAAAAAATGTAAGATTTGTAGAGACATGAAATGTGATCAAGTGATATATATATATATAATTAAATAATAGTATCTTATGGTTTATGAACAAGTTCATCTTTGTTTTGTTTTATTCTGTCTTATTGAAATTTCAGATCCTTTTTCTTAGCACCAAATTGAAATCCCCTTAAATATGAACTGATCTTGTATTGTGCTCTATTGCCACCTCCCCACATCCCCCCCCCCACCCCCTCACCCCCCACCCTCTCACTTTACTCAAAAATAAAGTCGTAATTCAAGTGTATATGTCCAACCTTATCTCTTTCTGTATAATAACTACACCACCAAAATTCAATTCAAATCAAAATCTTGGCCACAATTTCCTACAATGTGATGATGATTTTGAGATATTTTGTGGCATAATACTGTATATTTGCGAGTATAATTCACAGATTATCATTAATTATATTTGTTTGTTGTGTTTGTTTGTTTATTTACATCTGTTAATTATTATTCATTTATTTATTTGTTGCATGGTTATCATTAGAAATAAAATGTTGACATTCAAATTTGACCTTTATTTTCTCTGTGTTTGGTTTTCCTTCTCAGATCTTTCATTCTAGTTAATTGAGAACACGCATGCTCTGAGAGAAATCCTTGGTTTGGTGTACATGTTAGTTTTGATATCTATTGCCCGAACATTAGGAGTTTTCAGTTTAGCTCTAAACTAAAATCTGGCCATATTGATATTTATATCTATCCTATTTTAAGCGATTTCTTTCCATGTTTAGTTTCTACAAGAGAATACTTCTTGTTCATCCTGATTTGACATGCTCGCCCTGTCCAATTCGCTTCAAAAGTATCCTCTTTATAAATGGGCTAATGACACTGCTGGTGGTTAAGGCTGTCCTTGAGTTCATTCGTCAACCTCTCAGCTGTCGACCGATTTCTCTGAGA